GGCCTTTGGCATATGCGTTCATCCCCCTGCCTTTTCCTGCCTTTCCCCCTTAGATGCCTCGCTAATCAGTCTCCTTGCCATGCCTCACAGTGACTGATATCTCACTCAGCTCCCTTGGGATTGCCAGAACTGAGCACACTGTTTTGCCTCTTATGAAGACTTAGAAATGTTGACTAATGAACAGACAAATTCATTCACAAATGGCCTTTCTGCTGCCTTAGCCTGAATACTTTCCTTCTCCATCTCCTTCTAGGATAGATACCAAAGGAACCTGAATTCAGATGAGTGACAGCCAAGGAGGAAAACCTTTCTGGCACATTTTATGCTCTACATCCATATTTGTATTTGCATGGCCTCATAATTTGTTTATGAATTATGGGCTGAGCCTCAATATCAAACTTCTAGGAACTATGCAAATGTGGAGCTCAAAATAAAATTTTACTATGTTGACTAATGCTGGGGGTAAAATTGATTGAAGCCTTACTAAACAGTTGAAAATGTTTTATTTAAAAGATATTTATCACAAACACTATTGTTATACCGGGATTTACCCTGTAGATTTATTAATAACTTCTGTTCTCCAAAGGCTCTGAGCAGAATGTTCCCTATATATAGGAAGGCTGCACATGTTTACTGTTTGTTATTGTCAACATGTGGTTCACAGTGAAGCCAAGACTACCTCAGCAGACCTGAAATATGGTGCTTGCCAAGACACCAAGGCTAGATCAGCTTCAAACTTACAAAGGCAAATCTGGTACACAGCACACGTAGCCAAAACCGAATTTGTAGTCACTCCCCAGACTCACTCTTCCTCCCGAGCTCTCTGCTTTCCCTACTTCAGCAAATTATACCAGCCCTCATGCCATTATTCTCCAAAATCTGCACTGCTGCCCCTACCCTCAACTCCTCTCAGAGAGATTTATAAAGAATAGAAAGAACCAAAGGGTGACGAGCTACCAGACTTATTACTAGTCACACAGAAACTCACACTTTTCAAGCCTTCCTAGTATGGAAGAGGATGCATAGGCCTGGGGCCCAGAATATCCCCTCATGTTCCTTCCTGCTGGCACTGAAGACAACGTGGTGTAGAGGGGCCAACTAACCCACCCTGTCTCAGGCTGAGTATCCTCGTCCCCAACTGAGACTTACTGTCCTCACTACCTGGACAAGCAAAATCCCAAATCACACTAGGCCTGAACAAAACCAAGTCCAAAACGATCATTATTTTTATAAAAATTAAGCCACACATAAGCAATGACCCAAAAAACAGAGCTGGCCTTCTGACTTTCAGACTCTGGCCTGTCTCACCATTGAGATTAGTCACTCCTCTGCCTGTGCTTCGGACACTGAACTTGTGGAAAGAGAATCTATAAATATACAGTCACCTTCTTCGTCTGTAGCAAGGTCAGCGGAAGTCACCTCTTTGGGTCCTGGAAGAGTAGGGAAATATGGAAACTAGAATCTCACCTTCCCACACGCCACCATTTCTCCAGTCCTCCACACCAAGGACAGAGCATAAGTCTAAACTACGTCCTTTTCTTACCTCCTCATCATCCCCTGTATTCTGTCAGCCACCAAACCTTGAAGTTCTGCCTTGTAGATGTTTCTCACGGGCCGTTTCTTCTTCACACACCCTACCTGGGTCCTGTATCCAGCCCTCACTGTCCTTCGCCAGCACTACAGCGCAATCTCCCAATCCCTCTGATTTAAGCCTTGTCCCATTTCTCATTTAGACTCTGCACAGCAGCCAGAGTGATCATTCTGAAACTAAGTCATGTCACCCTCTGACAGATCCCCATTCACTACAGAATAAAGGCCAAGCTCTTTAGAAAGACTTACAAAACCTTTCATGGCCTGCCTGCCTTTGCAAATTCATTTGCCTCTTTTTTTACCCTGTCCCATAGGCATCTCAGTAATATTAAAACAGTTGTCATTTCTGATATTCACCTTGCAATTGCAAGTCTCCATCCCTTCATTCACGTGAGTCCTTCTGTCTAAAATACCCTTGACTCTTTCTCTCATTTTGTTGACTCTGATTCAACCTTGAAGATTTTAAGGTGTTTCTCCTTCAGGAACCCTTTCTAAATTAAACCCTGGCTCTGTCCTTCTTCCTCAGGCTGGGGTATGCCCCCCTCTTCTCTACTCCCATTATTGTGGGAATACATACATTATTATGGGAATACATGGGAATATCTGTGAATTGCTCAATCATTAAACTTTTCATCCTATGCTGATATTTATGTACATATCTGTTTTCCTTTTGGGCAGAGGCCATATCCCCAATAACAAGAGGTTACCAGCATTCAGGAGAAGTTTGTGAACCTAAACTGAACTCTTAGCTCTTCTAAACCATTTATTCATTTCTTTCTATTACATTAATTCAATAATCATTGAGTAATGAATTCCATGGGTATGGCCCACTCCACTCACCCACTTTCTTTTTGCTGGGTAGTAACGTGATTTCTCAGATATTTTCAGACTGTATGAAAATCATTCACTTTTCCCATCTCTCTACATTCCAGAGCATATCAAAAACATTTGTTAACCACTTTCAAATTGTGATTTGTTTTTGAATCACACGTTTGAATCATCTTTGTACGCTTCTTGTTCTGGTGACAAAACTGACTGATTACACTTCTCTTTTATGGGTTTAGGCTGACGTAAGTGACGGTACGTGACAGTGTAACACCCTGGAATTGTGAGATCCTGCTCCCTCCTGGCTGTCTTCCATCTGCAGAGTTAAATACATGTTAATAAATAATAGTAGTGAAGTAACAGCAGAGTATTATTTTACAGCAGGTCTTTGAAGCTACTCAGACTCTATCTGTCTCTTCCTGATTCAGAAAGCTTTCTGCCCACTGGCTTTAGCTGCTAACAGATAAGATGGTTTTTTTTTACATTAGAGTTCATAAAAGGTGAATTCTAAAAAGCTTTGATATAAATCCTACAATTTCCAAAGAGAATCTCAAAAACGAATGGAGAAACACCGAGGGTGGGCAGTTGCCACTCTGTGGACGTCAAAAGCAGGGCAGGGCAGCTAATCCAGGGGCACTGCGACTGGGAGCGGAGAAGCAATGAAGGACGTGCGCTCTCCAGGCCTCTGGCAAGGAGCGTGAGCAGCCAAGAGCAAGTGAGAATGGGAAGAGGCCAGGAAGGGCAGGACCATGAAATGTGGAAGAGCAAAGGCCTGTGTGTAGCTCGGAGCTCCCGGTACAATGCAATGGACGCGCTTCCCAAGGAGAGTGAGGTTCATATAAACCACTTCATAAAAAAAAGTTAAAATAAAAATCATAAGCTTATCAGTTCATTTTGTACAACCAATACTTAGATTAATAAATACTCAGCCCTACAAACTCATGGAAATATATTAAGTACATACACACTCTATCACCTCTATACAGAATCATAACATTTAACAACCAGCTCAGAACAGATCCATCAAACAGAAGAGACACTGGCCATAAACATCAGCCAGCTAAATATAAGCCCTGGATAAACATACCACTGCACAAACAACAGGTATCTCCCTTCCTTGCAAAGCTCCTCTTCAGATTCTGCTCTGGGTCCTCTCCCAAGCAACAAGAGTGATTAGTGATAAAAAATTTGAATGAAAAATCTGAAGTTATTCTTGGGCATATTGGCTTTCTGCCTGAAGCTAAAAAAAAAATGACTTGAGTTTGTTTTTCCATTTTCTGCATTTGATTTGTCGTCCTCACTGTTTCTAGGCTCTAAGGGCCAGTGATTTTCCCGTTTCCACTGCCCTGCGATCCAAAGCTCCCTCCTCAAAATAGACACTGAGGGCTCCCAGGCTGCGTCTGGGTCACAGGCCCTGCAGGAATTCCCGGCCTGGCCTCTCCGCTCAGGCTCCTCGCCACCTCCCCAAACATCCGCATTTTCTCTTCTGTTTTGTCCTCCAGACCTGGTTTCAAATCCAATCCTCCATTCCTAAGCTTTATATACTTTTCCTTTTCTTGCCACTTTGTCCATATAAAATTCTTTGGAGAAAAGTAGCAATTTTAGAGTGTTCTGATGTCCGTGTCATTGAGCTGTAGCTCCTCACCCCGTTTTTGAATGGAAACTTTTATTACTTAAGTCAGTCATTCTCTTGGATGATTTGCTTGTATCATGTCAGCCGTTAAAACGCATTTAAACATTGTTTTCCCTTTGCAGGCAACTGGGGAGCAGAAAGGCTAAGGCACTGGCCGCCGATCACACAGCTAATAAGCAGTGAAATCACTCGAAACTCAGGAGACGGTTGATTCCAATCTCTTGTTCTTTCTTACCCTACATTGCTGTTCTAAAATTTAAAACCAAAATACTAATAAAACTGTCCAGAGTTACAGGGTCTGGGCTTGATTTGAATGACACTTTTCTAACTCAAGCAAATGTTTACACATGTAAGAACAGAAGGCTGGGTCTCCACTCTACACCTTCACGCTGCTCATCAATCTCAAGCCAATAAAGTCCTAAGCAGTCCCCAGCTTGAGAAAAATGCTAAGCAAAATTGCTTCTGCCTATCACTACTGAAGAGAAATGAGGGACTCATTTGACATATTCCTGGTATATGCTGCCATTTATTTGAATCAATGCTCCATTAGATATTCCAAAGTTACTTAAAAATCAATAATGATCAGCTTTGGGTTAAAGGGTAAAGTCAACAAACCCAAAGCATTATTTTGAGGGTTGAGAAGGTTGTTTTCTTTCTTTGGAAGAAGAGAGGAGGAAAATTAAATCACAGTTAGACATTGGCCCCAGAGTGAAGAAGGAGGGCTTATTTCTGCTCGGGCCCAGTGCACGTACAGGCATGCACGTGCTTGTGAGTGTGTGTGATGCACATCTGCAGGTGTGTGCTTGCATGTGAGTAGTGGACACACACTGAGTCCAGCTACACTGAGGCAGGTTTGGAGGCCCTAGGAAGGCTTGAGCAGAAACTGGCCTGCTCTCTAGGGGCAGGCTGATTAACTCAACTTTATGTAAGACCATATTGTTTTCAACTTCAGAAATATTTACCAGAAGATCAGGGACCATGACCTCCTGGACAAAAGGAAAACAGTCACAGCCCTGAAGGCAGGAGAGGACCGAGCCATTCTCCTGGGACTGGCCATGATGGTATGCTCCATCATGATGTACTTTCTGCTGGGAATCACGCTCCTGCGCTCATACATGCAGAGGTAAAACCACTGGGTGGGAGGGACCCTGCCACTGTCTCCTCCATCCTCCCCCTCATTTAGGCACCCTGAAGGGCATCTTCTGCACCTTCTTTCCTGACAAGAACTTTGCAAAGTTCCTGGTAAATAATACTTTTCAGTAACATTACCTAATAATAATGATAAATATAGCTCTATGTATAACCTGGATACCAGGTGTCAAAGAAAGATTTTTACTTAATTATCACAACTACTCTCTAAGGTAAGTGTAAATATGCTCCTTATAAAAACGGCAAAACTGAGGCTCCAGAGAGATGTGATTTCCCCAGTGTCACACAGCTCTTGCTTGTGGCAGAGCTGATTCAAGCCCACACCCTGCATACTCCGAAGTTCCTGTTCCTGCCACGTCACGCTTCTGTCTCTTCTCCACCCTCATCTCCTTCCCCCCACCCAACCCCTCCCTCACCTTCCACGTCAGTGCTTCTCAACTGAACATTCCAACTTCCCCAAAAACTTTTAAAAACGCTAATTCCCAGCCCCCACCACCATCACCCCAGAAGATCAGATTGAATTGGTCTGGAGTGGGACCCAGTCTCCAGTATCTGTTCAAGCTCCCAGGTGATTCTGATGTGCCTTCTAGGCAGAGAGACACTGCTATGCATCAACTTTTAAAAATAACAGATGTTGAATCTTTTCATTTCAGTATCTGCCCTAGATTTATTGAATGGATAGGAACGCCAATAATCATACGACAGCAAGTGTGCTCCGCCCTCGGGAAGCCGTGCGGTAAACACCACCGGTGTCTCTAGCTAACTTTTGTCCATAAATTGGATACTCTGAACACAGGCAAGCCCAGCCTCACTGTATCGAATAGGGGAAAGCCTCACAGTAGTTCAGCTTAAAGAAGCAAGACCCTTTCACGTGAAAAATTGAGGTTTTAATCCAAAAGAAAATCAAACCATTTTGTGGCATTTGTTTCTCCATCTAAATTAATACTTTCATTTTAGAAGCAAAATCTCGCTGAAATGCAGTCATTTGCTGAAATTAAGGCATCTCCGTTCACATTTGCGGCTGCTCTGCTCTGTTTCTCTCATGGCCTTCAGCTGTGCTCATTTTCAATGAAAATGCTGATGCCTCAGGCCCCAAGTGGTCTCTGCTTCCAAAATGCTTTCAGATCTTCACATCTGCTTGGAACCATCGAAGACTTTTCCCTCAGTAGATAAGCAAAATCTGACCGCCCATGTTGCAGGAAAATACAATTTGCCACACCAAGGGAAGGGATCAGGTCTAGTAACTGCTTCTGGAATAAAACTTCACACATGCAAAGGAGTGGGAAGCTGTGGATGCCTGTCCAAAGGGCAAAGGTATTAATCCGCAAAGAAAACATGTTTTCCCATTGCTGTGGTGATCAGCTTATACCCAAAACCAAACCATCGATTGCTGGTGTGTTAATTCCTAATCACAAATGTTGATCTCGACCATAAAATTAAAAGTATTTTAAAATGACAAGCTGGCCAATGTGCAGCTGGAACCCTGCCAGGTGAGAGGTCACAGGGCACCCTTATTCATCCATTAGCCTGGGTTTCTTTTCCATTAGGTTTGTGGGGAGACAGCACTACACAATAGAATGAGCCTGGGCCTTCAAGAATTACAAGATTGGGTGGGTTCACAATTCCCATCACTTACTTCCTATATGTCCTCACAAATGTCATGAGATTTCTCAGTTCACTCCTTTTTTGAGACAGAATCTCACTCACCCTGTCGTCCAGACTAGAGTGCAGTGGCATGATCTTGGCTCACTGCAACCTCCACCTCCTGGGTTCAAACGATTATTCTGCCTCAGCTTTTGAGTAGCTGGATTACAGGTGCCCGCCACACCCAGCTAACTTTTATAATTTTACTATACATGGGGTTTCACCATGTTGGCCAGGCTGGTCTCGAATTCCTGACTTCATGATCTGCCCACCTCAGCCTCACAAAGTGCTGGGATTACAGGTGTGAGCCACTATGCCTGGCCCACCTACTTTTAAAAAGAAATTACTACCCAGCTTATACAGTTGTTGAGAGAACAAAAGAAGGTAGTCTATGAAAAGCACCAACTGGGGGAAAGGAATGTGCAGTCAGTGATTGCTTGCGATATAATGAAAGGGTCAATGTATTTTTTTCCCTTATTAGCAAGATCCTAAGGCACCTATCACTGTCCTTCCATCCATCAAGCTGGACACAAGACCCTCCACTGCTTCGCCATCCTGCCCTCCTTCTCCCGCACACCTTCTGTGCCTGCAAACGGGGCCGGGGTGGGAGCTGGGATGAAGAGAGTGCAAAGTAAAACATACAGAGGTAGGGGCTGGAGCATGGCGAGAAGCTGCCACACTGTGGGAATACAGGGTGAGGACAGTTGATGATTTTAAAGCCTGCCTCGTGTTACCAGTGAATTCAATAAGGAAAAAGACTCAAGTCAAGCACTGCAGAATACCACATCCAATGGAAGTCGCTGAAAAACTTCTTGTGCGTCAAACTTTGTCTAAGTTCTACTGCAGTTTGCTTAAAGCTGTTCTATTCAAAGGCCTAAACTTTACACAGATAGATAATGTTAGAGATTCAGAAAAGATGTTTCAGCCTCAGGAACTGAGAAACGATTCCCTTAGACTGTGCCTTCCTCACCACTAGCTCTTGGGCCTGTGTTTACTCTCCCTCTTCCTTTGTAGCGTGTGGACCGAAGAGTCTCAATGCACCTTGCTGAACGCGTCCATCACAGAAACATTTAATTGCTCCTTCAGCTGCGGTCCAGACTGCTGGAGACTCTCTCAGTACCCCTGCCTCCAGGTGTACGTGAACCTGACTTCTTCCGGGGAAAAGCTCCTCCTCTACCACACAGAAGAGACGATAAAAATCAATCAGAAGGTAAGAACTGAAAACGCACTGCCTTTCAGTTACCCCGCAGAGCTTGGCACCAGACTCTCTGCCTCTGAAGTTCCCCTTTGCCAGCATTTCAAAGAAAAATACTTTCAGAAAGCAGAGCCTGTTTCTTCCATTCAGAGAACTCGCTATGTGACTCATGCTGAAAAATATTTATTTTCTCTGTGAATTGTGGACAAATTGTTCCTATATTTGTGATAGTTTAGATTTAGCTTTCCCTTCCATTTGAAATGGTAAATATTAATATATCTTTTTTTCTAGATAATTTTTAAATTATACTTTAAGTTCTGGGATGCACGTGCAAACGTGCAGGTTTGTTACACAGGTATACACCTGCCCTGGTGGTTTGCTGCACCCATCAACCCGTCATCGACATTAGGTATTTCTCCTAATGCTATCCCTCCCCCAGGGTCCCCCCCCCCCAAAAGGCCCCAGCGTGTGATGTTCCCCTCCCTGCGTCCTAGTGTTCTCATTGTTCAACTCCCACTTACAAGTAAGAACATGCAGCTTTTGGTTTTCTGTTCTTGTGTTAGTTTGCTGAGAAATATATCTTTACACAAATAGACTGAGTCTTTCAAAGCAAGTATGCAGCTTAGAGATGTACAAGTGAAAACCATGTTTGTCATGTACCTGGGAACCATCAGGTAAAGGTGTATTCTGGTTTTCCACAGTCATTGTCACTTCGTTCTGTGACCTTAGGGATATAACTTAACCTTTCTGATCCTCAGCTTCCTTTTCTCTAAAAAGTAACAAATGGCCACCTTGCAAGGTCATTATGAAGATGAGACCTGAGTATGTACAGTGTTAATCAGAGCACGCTACCGTCAACCCATGATCAATCTGTGTGTGTGTGTGTCTGTTCTTCACATGTTATACTCATAGAAGCTGAATTTTCCAGCACTAATATATTCAAGTCCACATGGTAGATGTTCAGTGAATGTACATTTTATTAAAGCTTTACATAAAATTTCCATTTGTAAGGTCGGGGATGAAGATGTTCAGTGAATGTATATTTTATTAAAGCTTTACATAAAATTTCCATTTGTAGGGTCGGGGATGACCAGGAAAGTGTCAGCAGAACCAAGCTGCCATTACAATATTAAGTTAGATATATTGAGTTTTGGATTGGTAGTAACAATTAGCTATGCAGAACAATCTCACATGCCAAGACAACTCGATGCCACTCTTGGCTCTTACTACCACGGTACAACCCTTTGACCTCTAATCTTTCTTGTAAAAGCTTTTTTCGTTAAATTGTCAGCACTTAAATGATAAAGCTTATAGTCACTGAAAAAATGCAGTCGATTCAAGGTTCAACACCGGCACAGAAGGTGAATAGGATTTGTTTCTGATGCAGACACAATGTAAGGAAACCCACCTTGCACTTTTGTTACAAGATCTTCAAAGAATTCTTTCAAATATCTCTGAGGACTCAACATAATAAATATTTCAGGGCATGTTGTTTGAAAATGCTTTCTCTGATTTTCTTTCGTTTGAAGTAGCCACAAATAGTACCCGTCCCAACCCTGTGCTGCAAAGTGTAAAGCCTAGCTCCCTCACAAAGTGTTTGTCTTTCAAGGTTTTCCCTTAAGTCAGACTTTTAAATCAAAGCTGACTGGTAATGACAAATGCCTATAAAACTCTTAAATCTGAATAGGCATCAAAAAGTGGGACATACTTTCATTTCCTCATTTTGACAATTTATCACTACAGCCCTATGAAAATGCATTATTGAAGCTATAAACGGAGAGCAAAGCTACCAATAAATGTCCCGGATATATATTCAGGACTTATTTGCTCTCAGCAGAATACTAGGTCATCATTTGGTTTATTGGCCCCACTATCTTGTTTTTTAAAGTAAATTACAACATATGGAACTGTGCATGAAATGAAAAAGTACATCTCAAGTATTACAAACACATTTGTAACCACCTTACGGGTAAAGAAACAACATTTTCTGTACCCCCAAAACATTCCACGGGTCCCCTCTCGATAACTATAGTCTCTGCCTCCACTAAAGACAACAACTTTCCTGTTTACGACAATTACAAGCACACACACGTCCATTAGGTGTAAACCTGGGAATAGAATATTTAAATCATAGACTATACATATCTGGAAGTTAAGAAGATAATGCCAAATGCTTTTCCAAAATGTATGTGCCAATTTACATTCTCACCAACCCTACGGATATGAGAGTTCTTATTGCTCCAAATCTTTCCCAACACTTGGTAACATCTACAACTGTAATTTAGCTAATGTGATATTTCCTTGTGATTCTGACAGCTTATGTTATCAAGCGCCTTTTCATTTATTTATTGGCCATTTGGATATCCTTTTTTCTGCAATGTCCATGCAAGTTGCTTGCCCATTTTTCTATGGCATTGTTTCTTCGTTACATTTATGGTAGAAATTATTTAAATATGAACCTCTGTTGGTTATATGTGTTGCGAACATCTTCTCCCATTATGTGGCCTTTTCACTCTCTGAATGTCTTTTGATGAAAGAAGCTTCTAATTTCTGTGTAGCCAGATTTTGCCAATCTTTTCCTTTCTGTTCAGTGCTTTTGCTGTTCTGTTTAAAAAGTCCTTACCCACCCTAACATCATAAAGTCATTCTCCTAAATCACACTGTAGATGTATTATTCTCTTCCCTTTCACACATACAGTAAAATCTGACTGGAATTCATTTTTACATAGGGATCCAGTTTCTTGGGGTTTTGTTTTTGTTTTTGTTTTTCATATGGAAAACCACATGAAATGTCCAAACAATCCATCTTCTAAGGGATAGCCAGTCCATTTTTGAAGAGACCACACTCTTTCTCATTGGATTACTTTTATAATCTCACCTCTCCCTCTGTTTTATCAGAAGTCATCTATTCTGTTATTATTCTTTTTAAAGTCAAAAAATAACAGATGCTGGTGACGCTGGAAAGAAAAGGGAACGCCTCTCCACTGCTGGTGGGAATGTAAGCTACTTCAGCCATTGTGGAAGGCAGTTTGGTGAGTGCTCAGAGAACACAAAGCAGAACTGCCATTCATCCCAGCAATCCCAATATTGGGCATAGACCCAAGAGAACACAAGTTGTTCTGCCATAAAGACACATGGATATGTGTGTTCATGGCAGCATTTCTCACAATAGAAAAGATATGGAATCAACCTAAATGCCCATCAACAGTGGACAGGATAAAGAAAATGTGGTACATATACACCATGGAATAATACTGTACAGCTGTGAAAAAGAATGAGATCGTGTTCTTCGCAGAACATGGTTGGAGATGGAGGTCATTATGCTAGTGAACTAACACAGGAACAGAAAACCAAATACCACATGTTCTCACTTATAAGTGGTAGCTAAATATTGAGTACATATGGACACAATGAATGGAAAAGGACACACCAAAACCTGCTTGAGGGTGGAGGGAGGAAGGAGGGTGAGAATTAAAAACTACCTATAGGGTACTATGCTTATTAGCTGGGTGGTAAAATAATCTGTACAGCACACTCCTGTAACATACAATTTACCTATATAACAAACCTGCACCTAAACCTAAAATACAATTTTACAACTTGCAGTCTAGTAAAGAACATTGAAACATTTTAACTCCACTTTTTTATTCTTTTCTCATCTTCTATCTTATTATCATTTTTGTGTTATGTATCCTTGAAGCTCATGTAGACATATTACTGTTGTATATAATCCATGTAAATTAACATGGATTCCCATATTTTCCATTTTTATTATGCCTATTCCCTTATCTCTGTTCTTCTATCTGGGATCATCTTTAGTAGGATTTATTTTACTTTAGTAGTATTTATGTTAGTGCAATGTTTTCCCCCAAAAGTTCTCATTTTTATTTGTCTGAAGGCATTTTTTATTTCATTTTTCTTCTTGAAAGACACATTCACTGAGTACAAAATTCTAAGTTGGCTATTTTTTTCCCATTGTCTTCTGGTAATCTTTGTTACTGTTCAGAAGTTGGCCCTCAGTCTAATTGCTGCTTCTTTGAAGATAATCTTGGCCTATTTTGAAGATTATTTTATTGGTTTTTCTGCAATTTAACTATTATGTGACAAAACATGCAACTATTTTTATTTAGCCTAATTAGCATTAGCATTTCCAGGGCTTCCTTCCCTGCTCCTTAATATTCTTTGTCAATTTTAGAAAATTCTGTCATTATCTCATCAACACTGTTGTCATTCTCTGCCTCTTCACCTTCTGGGACTCCAATGGGCCATATGCTAGGCTTTCTCACTGTATCCGCTATGTGTCTTATGCTCCCTTTTGTTTTTCTCCCTCGTCTCTTTTTGCTTCTTTCTGGATGCATACCCATCTTCTAATTCAGCGATTCTTTCCTCTGCTCTGCAAATCAACTGTTAAACCCACGCACTGAGTTCTTAATTTTGCTTACTTTATTTTTCAATTCTAGAATATCCAATTGAGTCTTGTTTAGTCATTTCCAATTCTCTGCAACATTTTATTTATTTATTTATTTTTATTGGATTTTAGGTTTTGGGGTGCATGAGCAGAGCATGCAAGACAGTTGCGTAGGTACACACATGGCAGTGTGCTTTGCTTTTCTTCTCCCCTTCACCCACATTTGGCATTTCTCCCCAGGCTATCCCTCCCTACCTCCCCCTCCCACTGGCCCTCCCCTTTTCCCCCCAATAGACCCCAGTGTTTAGTACTCCCCTTTCTGTGTCCATGTGTTCTCATTTTTCATCACCCGCCTATGAGTGAGAATATGCGGTGTTTCATTTTCTGTTCTTGTGTCAGTTTGCTGAGGATGATGTTCTCCAGATTCATCCGTGTCCCTACAAACGACACAAACTCATCATTTCTGATTGCTACATAATATTCCATGGTGTATATGTGCCACATTTTTCCAATCCAGTCTATTATCAATGGGCATTTGGGTTGATTCCAGGTCTTTGCTATTGTAAACAGTGCTGCAATGAACATTCGTGTACATGTGTCCTTATAG